CCCTCCTTGCGTGTTCCTCTGGGGGCCCTGCCTTTTGTCTGCGCCTGCTCTGCCCTATCTGCCTGGTCTCCCGTGGTTACGAGTACCTGCGAGTACCTGTGCCTCACCAGCAGCCAGCACTGCTGGCAAACCACGCTGTGCTGGCTTCTTCCTTAGGTTTCTTCCCTCTGCCCTGAACAGAATACAAAGCTGGTTCTAGGATTTTCTCCATTTTACAAATGGGGAGCTGAGGCTCAGAAGGTAGAGCCCTTGCCTCTGGACACACAGCAGGAAGTTCAGCGGCTTCCAGCCCCACGGTCCATCCTGTGCACCGTGCTGCCTTGCTTGAGTTTTGAGAGGCACAGACACAGTTCCGCTCTCCTTGACCTTCTCACCCCGGCCCACTGCAGCCTGCAGCAGGGAAGCACACACTTATACTAGGGAAGCCTCCAGCTGCCTCCTGTCAGCACGGGGTCCCCACTCTGCTCCCGGCTCAGCTCAGCCTGGCCTGGTGCAGTTCTCCCTGGCCTGCAGTTATTTCAATCCCCTGTGCTGCCACCCATAGTCATCCTGTCCCTTAACCAGATGGTGCCCACTCGTGACCCCAGAATGAGCCACCGGGAGCTGGGGATTTAGCTCACCAGCACCAGCGCCTGCCTGGCAAGCGCAAGGTCATGAGTTCAATACCCAGTACCGGAAAAAAAAAAAAAAAAATGAGCAACTGGAAGGGAGTTGTGCCGGGTGCTCACCTGATCACTGTAGAGGGTTCTAAACCTGCAACTCAGGTAACAGGGAAATGAGCGATCACAGTTACCACTCCCAGTTTGCTAAGGGCAGATGCCTGCCAAGTCCCACTGCTAGGCTGGGCGGATTCCGCCCACCATCAATGTAGTTGTGGTCTTTTTTTTTTAGTACCGGCAATCAAACTTGACCTTGGGCTTGCCAGGCAGATACTGTGCCATTGAGCTATATCCCAGGCCCTAGTGTCCCTCATCAATAAAACCACATTAACCAAGAGGATGAGCATCTGGTTAGATGGCCCTACTGGGCATCTGAAGGCTGACTTGCAAAGTCTCTCTGTAATGCCGGACTTTAATACCAAGAAACTAAAAACCCTAAAAGGTCAATCACAGAAGGCTTGTGTAATCCATCCCGTGACTCACAGTGGAATACTATGAGCTGTCATTCTATGTCTTTTTTATTTTTTAATTTTTTGTCATTTTGAGACACGGTCTCCCTATGCAGTTCAGGCTGGCCTTGAGCTCACTTTGTAGCCCAGGCTGGCCTCGAACTCGCAAGGATCCTCCTGCCTCAGCTTCCCGAGTGCTGGGATAATAGGCATGCACCACTACGCCCAGCCAAGCTGTCATTCTAAAGTTACAGAAAAACATTTACTGACTGGAGAGATGGTTACAATATACTAAATGAAAGGCTTCAGCCGTGCATGGTGGCCACACACCTGTAATCTCAGCACTCGAGAGGCTGAGGCAGGAGGATTGTTTCAAGTTTGAGACCAGCCTGGGCTACAAAGTGAGCTCCAAGCCAGCCTGAACTATATAGTGAGACCCTGTCTCAAAAACACACACAAAAAAGGGGCTAGGGATTTAGCTCAGCAGCACAGCACCTGCCTGGCTAGTGCAATGTTGTGAGTTCAATTCCCGGTACCAAAAAAAACAAAAACAAAAACAAAAAAAAAAAAAAAGCAAAAAAACAAATTTTTTTAAAAGGCCAGAAAGTTTTACAATGAAAATATTTCTCCATTTCTGCCTCCTAGTCACCTCTGTAGACAACCTAGAGTACTGTTTCCTACAAAATCTTTCCAGAGACATTCTATTCAAATTAAGTATATATTTTCTGTTCCTATTTTTATTTATTTATTTATTTTTGGTTTTTCTCCAGTACCGGGAACCAAACTCACAACCTTGCACTTGCCAGGCAGGCGCTGTGCCGCAGAGCTAAATCTCCAGCCCCTCTGTTCCTATTTTTATACAAGAGCAAAATATGTACAGTATATATGCACAGTAAAACCTTAGATTGTAACTTGTTCTGTAAGACAAGCAAATTTTTTTTTTTTTTTTTTTGTCATTTTGAGACAGGGTCTCACTATTCAGTTCAGGCTGGCCTCGAGCTCACTTTGTAGCCCAGGTGGTCTCAAACTCACAGTGATCCTCCCACCTCAGCCTCCCAAATGCTGGGATTACAGGTGTGACCCACTATGCCCAGCACGAGCAAACTTTTTTTTTTTTGTCTTTTTGAGGTAGGATCTCGCTGTGCAGTTCAGGCTGGCCATGAGCTCACTTTGTAGCCCAGGCTGGTCTCAAACTCACAACGATCCTCCTGCCTCAGCCTCCCGAGTGCTGGGATTACAGGCATGTGCCACCACGCCCAGCCAAACAGCGAGTGGCATCCCTGGGTGGGCCCGAACCACAAACATTTCTAATAAATTTTAACTTGATAAGCAAACGATGTCTTGCTATACAAGTAGTGTGTGATGCTGAATGTCACGTGATCACAGCTGAGCCAATGGTCCTCTCTCTCTGGAGGATTGTGGGTGACCGTCTCCCACCAGTGAGAGGCTAAGGAGATCTCCTCTGCAGGGAGGAGAAAAAAGCAGAGCAACCCCTCATTTCAAATGAGATTAGAGAAAGATGTTAGACGTAGGAAAAAGTACAGAATTTTGTAGAAACACACCACGTATGAGGTTGTAGCAGCGAGCGTGATGCATCTCTTTAAATGACAACTCAGTGTCACATTTGTAGCCCACCGAAACTGTGAGTAACAAATATGTCCTTTAAAGCTGCCAAGTTCTGGAGTGGATGTTACAGGAATAGAAACTAATACTGTATAGATACGTGGGTGACTTCCCATCTTTTGCTATGACAGTATTACAAATAATTATAATACTCTTCATTTTTGTTTTCAAGTCTGTAAATGGGAAAAATATTAAAGTCTCTGTAAGACTTACTGAAGAGCAGGCCGGGGATACAGCTCAGCAGTACAAGCCCCTGCCTGACAAACGCACCTGATACCTCCCCACCAAAAAAAAAAATCTAAAAAAAGACTGAAGAAAAACCGGTCTCACATTAGTCCACTGTCCAAAGATCATTTCTCACTCTCTGCTCAAAGAAATAGCTACTGAACAACTACTGTGTGCTCACAAGGCGCCTCAGCAGCTTCTCGTCTCCAGGGGAACAAAACCCCACCCCTTGGCCTGCCACTTGGTACCTGCTACTCCCTGGCTTCGCACCTGTGGAGGGTAAGGGAACATCTGTGTATTAGGCAGCTCTATGTGCAAGCCCTGCAGGGAGCACCTCACAAGTACACAGCCCCATTAAAAGCGTGGATACTAAAGCCAGATTCCGTGGCTTGAACTCCCAGCTCTACACTTTCTTTTCTTTTATCTTTTTTTTGGTTTTTCTCCGGTACTGGGAACCGAACTCATGACCTTGCACTTGCCAGGCAGGTGCTTTTGCCGCTGAGCTAAATCCCCAGCCCCCAACTCTACACTTTCGATGTGACTTTGGGCTGGTGACATAATCTCAAATGCTCCACCTTATCACCTTTCTGCTCGTTTTTTGTTGTTTTGTTTTGAGATGGGGCCTCACAGTGTTGTCAAGGCTGGCACTGAAGTCCTATGAGCCTCCTGCCTCAGCCTCCTGGGTGGCTGTGGCTATAGGCTCAAATTACAGTCCCCCTGTCTCATTTTAAACACATGGATGCATAGATTGGGAAAGAAGCCACAAGTCTAGCTCACACCTAAGGGGAGGGGCTTAAAAAGGCTGTGAATACCAAGATGAGATCATGGTGTCCACGTGCCACACCTCCCAGGGCATCCGGGTCTCATGAGGTCTCTCATACCGCAAACCCAAGGCCCTTACCCTACCAAGTTGCACTCCCAACCCATTTCTAAGCTCCAATCTCGGGCGTAACTGCACAGATGACTGGCTGGGTATTGGGGTATTTCCCGGAGACCCAGATCCTGTACCAGTATTTTTTTCTCTAGTTGGAATTCCAGCTGGCAATAGCACCCAACTGTCGTGTCCCTACCAGGCCCCTCAAGGTACTTTTCAGGTTAGAGCCTTGATTCCCTATCACTGCTCTCCTCTTGCTTGTACCGTTCTGGGTATCACCTGACCCTAGAGAAAATGGACAAACTGAACAGGCACCTGCTAGGGCTTCACGCCTTACCTGAGGGATGCCAGGGCTAAGGAAGCAGCCCGTCACTGCTTACCAGGGGACAGCCCAGATCCAAAGCCCAGGCTGTCTCCAGAACCCAAGTGCCCAAGTCCAAGGCAACACACTTCTGATCGAGGGTTTCCTCCAGACCCCAGCTTTATTTCAGCCTGCAGGCACTCAGCAATAACTCGGGAGGTAACGTGATGTGAAACAGACGGGAATACGCCTTTGGGTTTTTTTGGTCTTTTTGAGACAGGGTCTCGCTATGCAGTTCAGGCTGGCCTTGAGCTCATTTTGTACCCCAGGCTGGTCTTGAACTCACAATGATCCTCCTGCCTCAGCCTCCCAAGTGCTGGGATTATAGGCGTGCAACATCACGCCTGGACGCCTTGTCCTCATTCAGTGGCTGAGAGAAGCGTGTTTTCATCCGCCGCCTCCCAGAGCGTTTATTAGCCTGTAGCTCTTCTTACAGCCCACAATAAAAGCTGCACCTTTCTTACAGAATCCTGAGGCACAAGAAACGCGGCCTTTCTGGCCCTGCCTGAGCCCCACTATGCCCAGCCCTCCTCCTCAGGAGATGCGGGGTAGGCGGAGGTGTTGGTGCTGGTGGGAGCTCCCGGACAGTCAGCCGCCTGGAGGGTGACTCAAGCTGCCACCTTCACCTGTCCCCAAGATGGGAAAAGGCTGCCCTAGAACCACAGGAGAGACAGCAGTGATGGCCTCGGGGGTACAGGGGCAAACGTCCCTACTTTGGCCAATCTGATGTCCCGGTCCCCGGAGGGGACTGTGAGCCTCACTCGTGTCCTGGAGGGTTGAGCAGCCGTGCAGCCAAAAACACAGGCATCTTTGACGTACACCAACAGAAGTAGAAATATTTATTTCTTTAATTTAAAAAATCTGGTCCCATGAAAAGGTCAACACTTTTTTCAGCTCGTAGTTTTGACCTTTCACAAAAGAAATCTTCCGGCTGAGAGGTAAGGTTAATTCAATAAAGAAATCTCTGAGGGGCACACAGACAAAATGTCTTCTTGTAAACCAGTCCTGCAGGCTTATACGCCACCGCTCAGAGCCCGTCTGTCACTCACAGTCCCTGAAGGAGAAAGTTAGTTACGAGGCTGTCTGCGGCTAAGGCACTACTGCAGAAACCACCAGTGAGAGAATCCAGGTCCGCCAGGAGCCGTGGCGCTGGGAACCCCTGAGCCCACAGGGTGGCCAGCAGGCAGGAAGGCCGGCCGGCCCTGTGACAAGCTTGCACCTTCCTGCTACCTGCCACCCCATCTGGCTTCCAGCACCGGCCTTGCCCCGCACTGCCCACCTGGCTGGCAGACGGGGACCAGGCGAGCGGCGGAGATGCGGTGCTGCCTGGGCTCGGGCAGCTGGCGGGCAGCGCCTTCAGAGGTCCGCGGTGTGCACACGCAAAGGTGAGTTAGTGCAGATTCGCATGTTAGCAAAGCAGAATAGTACATTTTTCAAAAGCTGCTTAATCAAATATCCCCCAATGGCCTGTTCAAGCTCAGCCTAAAGACCCACTAGCAATCAGGTGGGTGTCCTTCCTCTGGAGAGCACCTGAGTGGCTGCCGCTAAGGGAAGTATAGAAAGCCCCCTGCCAACAGTGACCCCACGGCACCTATCACCCCCGAAAAGGGCCGCTCTGAATCCAGGCCGCAAACTCAACCCATTCCGTTGTTTTGGGGGCTCATGTTTAATGCGGGTCACTGCAATGGAGCAAGGTCGGTCTCGGTCTCCCTCACACCAGGAGGGACAGGGTAGGGTCCCGGAGTTTCTTCTCCTGAGCTCCAGCTGCATACTCTAATCCCGCCAACACTGTGACACGGTGCCAATTACCGCCCCACAGGGCCAGTCTGTCAAGAGCCAGCAGGGAGAGGACAGCATGCTGCAGGAGCCAGCCAGGGCGCTCTAACTCCAACCTCGGCCCGGGCAAGGCAGCTCCTTCCCAGACGCAGTGTCAGGAGAGTGCTGTGCTCCAGTCAGAACTGGACCCATCCCGTGCCCGGCTGCGTCTGGCTGGAAGCCGACCTGTGAGGGGGACAGGGAGGGTGAGAGCTGGGCTGTTCAAAAGCAGAAAGAAGTCGGGCCTCTGGGCCAGAGCTCTAAGCCAGTGGTGGCAAACCTATGGCACATGCGCCGCAGCGGGAAGTTTCTATCCTTGAAACCTTTAAAAGGTTTGCCATCACTGCTCTAAGCAGCCAGTCCCTAAACAGTCTAGGGCAGTGGTCAGCAAACTATGGTTTAGGGACAGAATGTGGATGTGCATGTGTGTTTAGCTAATGCAAACGTTCTTTATAAAGACTCTTACATTCGCTGTCTCATGCCTGTATGTTTCTGTAAGTAAAGTGTCGTGGCAGGCAGCTGTGCCCGCTTGTGTCCATCCTGTGTGTGGTTCTTCCGCCTGCGGCAGCACAAATAAGTGGATGGAACAGAGACCACACACCGTCCGCACCCCTCACTATCGGGCCTGACGCAGGCCTACAGCCTGGCCACACGGATAATGGTGCAGCAAGAACTGCCCGTCTCTCCGCCATGGCCCCAAGCGAAGGCCTCAAGTCTTGTGTAGCATGGCCTGGCCAGATCCCTTCCCTCAGAGGTGCTACACAGGTGGGCCAGGCCCAGAGTTGGGACCTTGACCCTCACGTGGTGCGCTGGGGCAGCTGGGGACAGCAAGGAAAGCACAGTGAGGTCCTGGGGACAAGCCAGGCACGTGGTAAGGCGGTGCAGAGGGCCACACAGATTTGCAACAGGTGGCTTCAGGCACTGGGGTGCAGCACAAGCCCTCACAGAGAGGCACAGAGGACAACGTGCCACTTGAGGCAGGTGGTCAGGGGCTCTGTCTTCGGCTGCCCGCCAGGAGGACAATCTGTGCTGCCACCCTGCCCGGCCCCCCCCCCACCAGGGTGCAGCCCTCCTCACCCTGTGGATTTGGCGAATTCTCCCCAGATGTCAGCGGTGGCAGCAGTGGCAGGCTTGGGCTGTGGCCAGGACATGGTAGCACCTCCTGTTGATGTCCCCACGTCCGGTGGGTGGGGAGAAAGCAGAGACAAGGGAGTCAGAGACCTCTTTCCAGTTTTGTCAGTGACCAAATCACAAAGGCTGCCAACAGCGTCAAGATTCCAGGAGGCTGAGACAGACGCCCAGAGGCGTCCTTGGGCACCAAACACCTGAGCGTCACCCACCTCCACCACTGCCTCGGGAGCCCCTGAGGGTCTTTAGGGAGCAGAAGGCAACAGGAAGGTGGAACAAGCCACCTGTCACCTGTCACCCATGCCTGAGGAGTATCCAGAAACCCGCTCTGGTCCCTAGTGAAGACTACTCTCAGGCCGGAAAGGCACCTTCACATAAAGCCTGTGACCACACGCAGGTCAACCAGCCAACAGCACTGTGCGCCGGACGTGTGCTAAGTCCCCGCCGCCAGGGGGCCAGGGCTCAGACAGAGCCTTGCAGAAGAGCAGAGGTGACACAGAAGTGCATGTCATGGATGCTGTCACTGGGAAGCCAGGGGGGCTCTGGTGCCTGCTTTGGGGCTTTGCTGGCACCTTCCCTGTGCTGCCAACTGTCCCTGACTAAGGGCTTGTGCCTGCCACCCTCCGCCTTCCCACTAATCTTCTCTTTCCCTCTGTGCTGGGCTGGAAGAACTGATAAGATGAGGCCCCTCCAATGGTGAATTTTATAGTTTGCCAAGTGCTTAACCACATTATCACACATGAAACTCACCACAGCCCCCCAGGGAAGACAAGCCAGGCCTGGCCTCCTGTCTTTCTTTTTTTTGAGACAGGGTCTCGCCATGTAGTTCAGGTTGGCCCTGAACTCACCATGTAAACTGGGTGTGGTAGTGCACACCTATAATCCCAGGACGCAGGCGGTTGAGACAGGATCACTGTTAGTTCGAGGCCAGCCTGAACTATATAATGAGACCCTGTCTCAAAAAGACAAAAGGGGGGGGGGCGGAGACGAGGAGAGAGAGAGAGAGAGAGAGAGAGAGGGAGAGAGAGAGAGAGAGAGAGAGATGGAGGGAAAGAAACTCAGTACGTAGCCCCAGACTGGTCTCAAACTCTCAGTGATCCTCCTGCTTCAGCCTCCTGAATGCCTGGATTACAGGCATGCATCACCACATTGCTGGCCTTGTGACTTCGTATGGGTCACTTAAATTTTGGTTTTCTCATTTCGAAAGTGGGCACAGTATCCATGACTGTGCTGCAGGACTGGTGAGAGGTCTGAATGAATTAATGTGCCTGGAATGCTTAGCATGGGCCCAGCACTCTATGGCCATAATGGGGTACCATTAATAAAGTGAGGGAGAATCTCTCCTGTACTCACAAGTTTCTTTTTTGTTTGTTTGTTTTTTGTCTTTTTGAGACAGGGTCTCGCTATGCAGTTCAGGCTGGCCTTGAGCTCACTTTGTAGCCCAGGCTGGCCTCGAACTCGCAGCGATCCTCCTGCCTCAGCCTCCAGAGTGCT